TACGGTATTACTGGTTTGTGAATGTAGTGAAGATTCTACAGTACCTCCACCCCTACTCAAAAATAATCCACATGATGCTTACTTGTCATGCAGTTTTTTTTCATGGTACAGAGCTAAAAGTTTGTCTTCAAGCCTACATTTGTAGTGCCCCACCAGGCCAGTGCTTATCTCCTGTTTCTGTTGCAAAAGTGACTTGGAGTAAATCAAACTCCTCCCTTGATGGGATGCTAATGTATTGCAGTGGGGTACCCCCAGCTGGTATCCAGTTATACACCTGGGTGAAGAGGAACACTGTGAATGTAAAATGTCTTGCCCAAGAACATAACACTCTGACCCCGGCAAGGCTTCATCAAACCTCAGTGAACCACTCAATGCAAAGTTGGCTATGATCCATTAGGTTACAGAGCGTAATGTGCATTGCAAAATACACCACAGGTGACTTGATTTTTCATTATGCCCACAATCTTGTTAACCTAGGCTAGTGCATTAGTTCCAAGAAAAATAATAAGTCATAAGTGGAAAGTAATATTCAATGTCTGGTATACCAAGAAAGGTGTTCCACTGCTTTCCAAAGGTTTTTGACAACTCTTTTGCGCCTCCAAAATGGCCTAAAGGTCCTGCACTTTTTCCACTAATTCTTAAAACATTTCTGAATATTTGTTGTAGATTTCCAAAGACTGGGAAGAATTCTGAATAAGATACTTGGTAATATATTTCCACCACGCCCAAACTACAATTCATGTACAAATATCTCTGGAAAACCATCGTAATACACAGTACTGAGCAGATGGATACATTTTACTTTCTTGTAAGTTTAATTAAGTATTTTTGTTTTCTTTTGTTGTTCTTGTTGTTTCTAGAGAGAAAGAGCTTGCAAGGATTGTCATAAAAAAAGAAGATGTTGATTTAATAGTAAGTACAGTATATAGTTAAACTTTCATTATTTAACTATAGTTTCCATGTACATGTAGATAAATTGGAAAATTTGGGTAAGCTAGAAAACCCAAAGAAACTTGCATAGCAAGTTAACAATGGCCGTTTTTATACTAAAGACGCATCCGTCTGGAGGAACTTGGGCTAACATTTGTAGTTCGTCTGATTATGCGTCTCTAGTATAAAGACGGGCACAAGACGTATTATGTGTCTAGACGAACTATCTCTTCTAGTGCATCATTCAAGACGAATTTCGAAGGATAGTTCGTCTAAATGCATAATACGTCTTGTGTCTGTCTTTACACTGGAGACGCATAACCAGATGAACTACAAATGTTTGCCCAAGTTCGTCCAGACGGATAATGCGTCTTTAGTATAAAAATGGCGTGAACCCATTATCCTTCAGGACAGATAATGCGTCCTCTAGTACATGTATAAAAATGGCCAATTTCCTTGAAAGTGTTTGGGTTTTATTCTCTAGGAGTAGTTACATGTATACAAGACTCATGTATAATTATCTTACAGAAGTGTACTCTACATTAGTGCACAATCCGTGTTTGGTATAAGTATTTATGGAATATACCTCTCAGAGTTACCAGGCAACAGTGCAATAATTGCACAGTTAAGAATTTTTATTTTACATACACGAGCACATCAAACACAGGTAAATAACAGTACATTTATTAATTTCAATTTTTTGTAAATCAGGCATCTGCTTTGTCCACTAGGTTGACGAAATGGAAATTCCAAGAGCTGCAGCAGAAAGAAGTTTACGTGAGCACAAAGGAGATGTAGTAGAGGCTTTGGTGTCCTTAACAAATTGAGACAATGAAATCCAGTAAAAAAA